GTGAAAAAATGTTCAGCATCCTTGGCCTTCATAGTAATCTGATAGGAGTAGTATTTTTATTCACCTTTTACATGCCCACCATCCACTTTCATGGACCAGAGTGACTGTATTCTCCTCACTCTGCATTGCTGTGTGGCACGCTGATGAAATTACAGTGCTAACAAGAGATTCAGTGAAGACAGGACTCTGGGAGGGAGTATTCCTCTAACAGGTTTGCCTGTAGGCAGGCCAGGCTTATTTCTCTACAGCTGGCAAAGGTATAAAATCCAAGTGATTTTATTATCAAGGTTTTTGACTAGGATCCATACATGCAGGGTTCCTACTCTGCAGGTAAAGATGGATTTTGGCAGATTCACCAAAAAGCAAATTTTGGCAAAGGATAGATGATTGCCTAGGTTGCACATGTGTTGACAGAGTTTTCAGCGACGGTGGTGTATTTCATAAGTTGCCAAGGACTCAGTCATTTCTCCCTGATTTATTACATGTTCATTTATGTTTTGAGTGACGAAAGATGTTTGATTCTTCCAATTATTAAGGCTGGCTTAGCTTTTTCTTCAGCAAATCATCAAATCAATACTTTTTTAAGTTAGCAGTTATTTAAACAAGAGTACTGTAGGATATCCACTTATGAATACCATGGACTTTCATTTTATAATTTGTCAACTTAAAGGTCTTGGGAGTTAAGGGTGGTTTTATGGTGTTATATTAAAGCCTTGTATCTGATCACTTTAAATAATGGGTGGGTGTTGAGTGCCATGTTAGAAGCTTGTGTCTGATCATTTCAAATAATGCACGATTGCCCACTACTTACCCTCAATGCCTCACTAAGAGAGAAAGCTAACCCTTCCTCCATAGTTTATAATTCCAACATTTTATATCTAAATCATTTCCCCTGCATTGGTGTATAAGATATATAGATATGTCCAAAAATAATCATTAGACAAAGTTCACAGAAATAGTTTCCAAAGTAGGCAGGAGGATAGGTCTTGCCATTACTACTTTATTTAATTGATGCTATGATAGGCAATGTCCTGAGTGTTCAAAATCTTTTAATCATAAGACATTTTTCCTGAAAGTGTTCCTAAGTACCTGCCTTGCAGAAGTAGCTAATCTCATCTCCAGGTACAAAGAACTGGCTACAGAGATGGAAGTATGAATTGGCATATTAAAGATGGAACACAGTAATATAGAGAATCTTGCAAAAGTCATGTTCACAGCACTGAGCTGCATTAACCACAATCTCTTTTGACACCGGTAGCGAACTGCACGTGGAAGAACCTCTCTAAGCGACTGTGAGGCCGTGGAGCCCCCTCCTCAGTTTTCAATTAAAATGTCAAGGGCTCACCCTGGCAGGTAAAGCCCTTCTTTGTCCCCAAAGCAGCTCATCTCTTCAGGCCACTCAACTGGCTCCATTTGTAGCTTCAACCTATGACCCAAAGAGACATACCTCAGCCATACCAATGTCTCCTAGAGAGTCCTATCACCATTGTGCAGGCGTGGTTGTGTCTCTACTGCAAGGGCCTACCCACTATTTTGTGGCTACACAAATATTGACATTAATTCACAGCAGCAAAATCACAATAGTCTATAGTCCCTCTCTGTCATGTTTGAATTCTCATCAGCCCTACTCTCACACTCTGGGGCCGTGATGAAGTAAATAAGTGTTCCCTGAACGCATAAGTGAGATACCACCACGCTTGACCGTATCGCTGTGATAGTTGACCAGTGATGGATGGATGGATAGCAGCTATGGGTGGACACATTGGACAAAGGATAAGTCACATCCCAGGTGGGATGGACTGGAACCCTGTGAGCTTTTATCATGCCAAACAGTGCACAATGTAAAGCTTGTGAAGTACTCATTTGTGGGAGTTTCCATTTAATATATTGGGGCCATGGTTAATCACAGGTACCTGAAACGTAGAAGGAGAAACCATAGATAAGAGGGGACTACTGTATCATATTTACCAGGAAGCCACCCTGAAACATTTCCTGTATCCAGGGAGAACCCAGACTCCTCCTGGTGCTGCATGCTCTATGAAGTGTTACTTATCTACATCCTTCTTGTTTCAACGGACCAAACTGAGCAAAGGAGAGAGGTGATAGAATGGTCCATTCATGAGAAGCAGATGTTTCCATCCAGGGCTGGGAGCACGAATCAGAATGGGGGCGGGCGGGGGGGGCTGTCTCTAGATACATCTAGCATGCCCATCACACGCCCATGGCATCTCTGGCTGCTTCCTACGCACACTCCATTCTAAGTTCAAGAAATGCTTTTGACCCATGGATTCATTCGATCTACTGATCCTGACCCCCTGCCACATCGCACTACAGCACAACATGCCACGGTAGTGCTGCATCCTTATCAAGTCCTATAGAGACAATTAAAGCCCTCCTCACAGCCCTCTGCTTTGGACTTTTCCAAAGATATCTCTCTTCCTCTACATAGTGTGATATCTCTGGGAGCACTGTATATCTAATCGCTGTTGATGAGGGGTGTAAGACACTACACACACACATACATGCTTTTCACCTCCACTTCAGACCACTGTTGAGGGCCATTGGAGCTTCAGGCCTCTGATAATGCCACGCTCTTCCACCATTCTCTCCTACTGCTTCCCTTCCTCCTGGCAGTTCTAAAGGGCCTACTTCTCCAACATATCGAATATGCTAAACTCTGCTCATGAGGAGCTTTTGAGGCACATCCCACTGGCAAATCCCAGGCTTCACTAAGGATGCAGAAAGTTCTGGCCAAGCATATAAAATGTTCGAGGCATGGCCAAGGGTGTATAGAAAAATGATGTTTCACCATAAAACCAACTCCTCAGGTCCCCTTTTCAACCATGCATCTGCTCCAATCTGAACTTATCAGCAGACCCAACTAAAACTCTGCGAGTACACAGACTGCCCCGGAAGGGGGCGATTTACTGGAGGTGGAACGCTGAGGGAGGAAGTGGAATTTGTCCCTCTTCTAATGCATTCTTCATGTTTTGATGACACAGGTTGCAGAGAGGGAAACATCTCAGAATGAAAGCAGACAGAGTGGCTGCAGTCAGTGAATCACGCTTGTTCGAAAAAAGCTGAGATCCATAGCTCAGGATCATCTCATCTACTGTCATAAGTCTTTGAACGTTGTTCCTTTATCCAAGTAGCAGAAGCTCTTCACAGTTCTGTCTTCCTTGAGCACATCTTATGGAAGGAATTTCGGTACAGGAAAATCTGTGATCCTTGCATTCTCCTTGTGCTCGTCTGTTTGAAAGGAGTGGATTTGCCCATGCCCTCAGGTCACATCTAAATGAGGAGCTTTACACTGAGTTTTCAAGACTGATGTGCCAGCCAAGGCATAGGTTACGGGGCATTCCTACAGAGAGGAGATCAAGCTTGCAAACTTTGGAGTAAGCAATAAATCATACCAAGGTGTTGAAGGAACATGAGTATGGAGATTGCACACAAAGTGGAAAATCACTTTTTAAGATGCTGCTCTCTTCCCTAGGCTGTGCTACCACTTCATGTGGGTGATGGATTCAGTGGGGTTATACTAGCAGGACTTTCAAGCATTCTCTAGCCTCTGTTATCTAAAAGACATCATTCAGTCACTTTCAGGGCTAAAACCATGGCTTTCAAAGAGTGAAGAGCTCACTTCACTTGCCTGCCGGACTGTTGGAACAATGGTACTAGATACAAGGGTTTGATCAAACTCAGTCCTGAAAATTTTAGAGTACCTCTGGAAAGGAGTGGCCCCAGGAAGGTAAAGTGCACATTTTTAAGGTGGTGAGGCTTAGAAATGAATGTGCTTTTCAAGGTTGGCCTTGTGGATCTAGGGGGATATTTCATAAAAGATCTGCTCGATGTCATGCATGACAGTTGCCCACTAAGACACAGGTCCTTATGGGGTTAAGATTGTGAGTTTTAAAACCAAGGAAGTTTTGGAGCCTGGCAAATACACTACTGTCTACAAGAAAATGAAGAGTTACAAGCAAGTACAGTCATGTAATGTTTCATCAGGGAATAACATCTGAGAAATGCATTTGTTGGTGATTTTATCATTGTGCAAACATTATAGAGTGTACTTACACAAACTAAGAGGATTATAGTATCACTGGGACTATTAGTATGTGGTTCATCCTTGCCTAAAATGTTGTCAAGTGCAGGATACCAGGTTTACAGAAAAGTTTCCCAAGTCATCCTTAGACCACTAGCTGGAAAAGAGGACAGAATGAACACGGGAAAACTTCTAAGAGTTGGCCTAATACTCCTTGTATGTACCTGCCACTCTCTATAAAGTCTGACACCACCATTTACAGTTTTACTCCTTGCTGGGATGAGTTAATAGGCGAATGGTGCAGAGTCTGGGATGCGATGGGGTTTCTGAGATGGCAAAGCACTGGCCTGCTTTTGCTCTCTGCTTGGAAGACTGGTTCCAAGAGGCTGTTTGTTTACAGGTAGAGAATAAGGTCCAGTACCTTAGAAGGATCCTCAAGAAGTTGATGTGACTATTCATAATATGATAAGGAGCCGCTTGTCATGCTATAGCTGCTGCATCTATTGAAGGATGAAGTGGAAGTAGGTTATAAATTGTCTCTTTAGAATTAGGCATATGGCCCCACCTGTGGAGTAATATCCAAAACCTTAAGGCCCAAGACGGTGCCATGCCAGCTTCTCTTGAGAGTTGGGAACATCTGTGCTTCCTGTGTCTCTTTGTAATGAAGTCCTTGTCTCTTTCTCAGCTCTAAGGACTGGCTGACAGACTGGGTTGGGCTTACCTGTATTGCATTTCAGTAGAAAAAAGAAAGGATATTGGGTTTTACATTGACTTCTCTTAGGAGGAATCCCCAAATATTGCCCACGGTAAAACTGGATGTGACAAAAATTACTTACCTGCAAGATTCATACTATGGTCCCAAACCCGTCCCCCATTTAACAGGTGGGAGCCTGAGTTGGCCGATGGGTTTTCATCAGGAGATTTCTGCAGTTGAGACAAATGCTTCTTCTCTTGGTAGATCTGATCCCTACAGTGCAAGAGATGTAAACAACTAGAGATCCACAGCAGAGCTCCGTGTGACCTGCAAAAGTCTGGTTATGAGGGAGAAAAGGCGAACCAGTGAGTGGATGTGAACAAAAAAGAGTGCTGATGATAAGAAGGTCATAATGAAGACTTGCTGGCTCTCGTCTTTGGAGGTGTAGATGATGGAGGCCCAAATCCACCTCAGTTGTAACAGGGAAACACAGGCTGCTGCTTTTGCTAAAAATACTGACTGTTCCCTTGTGCTTGCAGATGTCTCCTTCACTACCTTGAGCTTCGGGAGAGATTCTGGTTCTACGCTGCACATAGATAGATTGATCATTTAAGAAATAGCTGTTTTAAAACTGGTAATACAATGTTGATGAGCTCCAAATTTACCTACTTTTATGGGCCCCCTTCAAGGCTGAAATGCCAAGGTAAGTATAATCCTAGGATTAGGGACTAGATGGGAGCTCCCCAATCGTATTTCACCTGCAACTGTGCATAAGATACTTAGGCCTACCTCAGCCCTCTCTTCCATCAAAGGGAGACAACAATAAACACCTTTGTGGCGCTTACCCTTAATTGTGTCAACTTGACTGGTTTTGTAAATACCTGGTATATTAGTAAAACACGGTTCTGGGTGTCTCAGTGTGTCATGGAGGCATGGTCTTGGATGTCTGTATCTGGTCCCTCATCCCTTTCTCTCTGACACTGTTTCCCATACTGTTTCTCAGCCACCATCAACTAAGCAACTTTGCTTCACCAGGCCCTTCCACCATACTTTTGTGCCTTGGAGCCAGGTGACCATGGACTGAATCCCCTGAAACCATGAGCCATGTTAAACTTCTCCTGCCTTCAGTTGTGAGTGGCTGGTATTGTGTTCCAAGGACAGGAAAACTAATACAGTCTTTCTCTTGGACCAGCTGGGAGAATGAAGCAGAACCCAGAACATAGAAATCCTACAAAGTGTTAGCTCTCACTTTAATGACATGGATGTTGTTAGACAAGGAATTAACAGAAACCCAGGGAACAAACAAGGAAAGTCCTGATTAAGAAATGCAGAAGCCCCATGTGCTGCACAAGGACTCCTCCTGGATTTTCTTCCAGGGCAGAGAAAGGTCACAACAATTTGCATTTTTTGGAATCATGTGTTGGAGACTAAAACAAAAGCTGTGGTTTGATTATTTCATGAGTTAGGTTTGTGAAACATCACTTCATAAGGATTCATTATTGTAATGAATTTTTAGGTGAGATATCTGACTCTGGGAGTCCCAAAAGATGACATTTGGTCACCCACTACCTCAATGGTCCAATCACAGGGACACAACTGGTGGTGTAGGAAGAAACTAATAGCCCTATTTTTTTTCCATTAAGTTTATTGGTACATTTTAGGTATACAATACAGTTACATTCATCATTGGGATCTTGTACCTGTACATGACGTATCTTGGTTCATATTTTTCCCCCTTCCCCTGCCCTCCCTTCACCTCCTCCACCCTTCACTATTTACAAAGACTTTGTTTCCATTTTTTCCTTTTCTCGTATTTTTTCTTTTCCCTTCTTTCCTTTCCCCTACCCCTCCCACTTCCCCTACTCCTTTAGACCTTTTCTTCCTATTTCACAATATCAATTATACATTTTGATCCTTATTTACACTTTTAGTTTTTCACACCAGAGAAACTATTCGGTATTTACACATGTGTGTCCTATTTATTTCACTTAAGAGTATTGCCTCAATGTGCATCCACTTAGCTATAAATGTCTCTAGTTTCTCATTCTTTATGGCTGAGTAGTACTATATTTATTAAAAAAAAACCAAACACATCTTTTTTATCCAGTCTCCAGTTGATGGGCACTTAGGCTGTTTCCAAGCTTTAGCTATTACAAACTGTGCTGCTATAAACATGGGTGCACATATATCATTGGGGTATAATTCTTTTAATTCTTTGAGGAAGATACCCAGCAGGGGAATAGCTGGGTCAAATGGGACTTCTAATCCTACTTTTTTGAAGTATCTTCATATTGATTTCCACAGTGGTTGCACCAGTCTGCACTCCCACCAGCAGTGGAGCAGGGTTCCTGTTTCCCCACAACCCCACCAGAATTTGTCATTGGTTGATTTGATAGCAGCCATTCTTTCTGGGGTGAGGTGGAATCTCAGTGTTGTTTTCATCTGCATCTCTCGAATGACCAGTGATGTTGAACATTTTTTCATGTTTATTTGCTGCTTTTACTTCTTTGTCTGAGAAATGTCTGTTCATTTAGGATGCCCATTTTTGAATTGGGTCTTTATATTTGGGGGTCTGATTATTTTTAGTTCTTTATATATTCCAGATAGTAGACCTTTGAGGAACAGCTGCTAAATTTTTTTTCCCACATTGTAGGTTGTCCCTTAGCTCTGTTGGTGGTTTCTCTTGCAGGGCAGAAGCATTTTAATAAAATGAGATCCCAGTTGTTGATTCTTTGTGCTAGTTCCTGTGGTACTGAGGTTTTGTTCATAAAGTCTTTTCCTATGCTAATGTCTTCAAGAGTTCTACCCTAACTTATCTTCCAGCAAGTTTAGTGTTTCTGTCTTAATATTTAGATCTTTAATCCACTTTGATTTTAGTTTAGTGCATCATGGAAGATAGGGATCTAGTTTTAATCTTTGGTAAGTTGAAATCCAGCTTTTCCAACATCATTTATTAAAGAGGCTATCTTTCCACCAGTGAGGATGGCTGGCTCCTTTGTCAAAGATGAGGTGGCTGAGTATGTCTGGAGTTGTTTCTGCATCTTCTAATCTGTTTCATTGATCCTCAGGTCTGTTTCTTTGCCAGTACCACACTGTTTTTATCACAGTGGCTTTGTAGTACTTTCAAGTTGGGGATTGTGATACCCCCTGCCATGTTTCTGTTGCCTAAAATTGCTTTTGCTATTCTAGGTCTCTTCTGGTTCTAAGTGAATATTTGGATTGTTTTATGTAGCTCTGTGAAATATACTGTTGGGATTTCAATTGGGATTGCATTGAATCTGTATAGCAGTTTTGGAAGTATGTCCATTTTCACTATGTTGTTTCTTCCTACCCAGGAACAGGAGATGTCTTTCCATTTTCTAATATCCTCTTTGATCTCATTTTTCAGAGTGCTGTAGTTTTCTGTGTAGAGGTCTTTTGCTTCCTTTGTGAGGTTGATTCCTAGATATTTCATTTTGGGGGGATGCTATTGTGAAAGGGATTGTTTCCCTAATTTCTCTCTCAGTGCACGTGTTATTTGTGTACAAAAAGGCTATTGTTTTTTGAGTGTTGACCTTGTATCCACCTACTCTACTGAATCTGTCGATTAAGTGTAGAAGTCTTTAGGTGCAATTTTTTGGGTCTTCTATGTAGAGTATCATGTCTTCAGGAAATAGTGACAGTTTAACTTCTTCCATACCATTATTATTTAGACTAGAGCCAAGGAAGCTTTCCATTTATGTTCTTCCAATATTAAGATCTAATTTTGCAGTTTTCTCTCCAATTCTGCTAAAACTGTGGTTTCGGGATCCGTCTATCCACTCAGAGTTCGCTTCCCACCAATTCATCATGACTCTCTACCCACTTCAATGGTTTTGTTCTGATCACAGAATCAAATTAATGTCCTCTGATGTCGCACAAGTAAAAATCCATTGAAGAGCTGAAACTTTTCATCTCATAAAGAATATTTTCTGCTTTAACCTAAGTGCATTTGTGCAGCCTTTGTGGCACAGGTTAAATATAGAGCTGTTCTTGCCTCAGATTCACCTGTTCTGGTCTGGAATCCTGCCCTGGATTGATTCTGCCCTCTGTTTTGTAAATGGGAAGCTCTGTACAGAGATACTGAAATAAGCCATCCAGCAGGGAGGGATCCAGTTTGCCCTTTTGGACTTTTTTTTCTTTGTCTCTCAAGAGTTTGTTCAACTTTTATCTCTTAGTTTCAGCCAAGGATCAAAAATAAAGTACTGCTTTGATTTTATTTTGGATCTCATTAGGAACAAAACAAGTCTATATCAAACATTTATTAAAATAATCAGTTATATGCATGAGCCTTTTCCCAGGAAGTTTCTGATAAGGTTATGTGAGATATGTAATTCTGCACATAAATTTTGAATATTAGGAAAATACTTAATTTAGTGAGAAAAGTTAGAAAGCTTGCCAAATTCATTCCACTTTCTGAAATTCTCCCTGTGGTATTTTCCTTAATGGTCAGAATGATGACATCAACTTTCAAATATGTTTCTACATCATTAGAGATATTGTAGTAATACGTATATTAGGGAGCCTAAACACACCCACAGACTCCCACATATCTGCATATGTGCTTTTAAGATATTAAATATGGGCAAGTGGAGGATGGTGGTATACCCCTGTAATTCTAGCACTCTAGGACCTTGCGGTGGGAGGATTACAAGTTTGACCCAAACCTGCCTGAGCAACTTAGTGACTAAGAGAAACCCTACCTCAAAATAAAAAATACAAAAGGGCCAGGGATGTAGCTCAGTGCATAGGCCCTAGGTTTAATCCCCAGTAGTGGGGGGAAAAAAGCATATGCATTTGGAAACATATAGCTATGAATAAATGAATACTATTTATAGTAGTGTAGCTTTTACATCCTTCCAAGGTAGAAGTAGTTAATTTAAAAGAACCATTTACATACCTCCATAAAAAGACACTGTACTTTTACCATTATACATGGTGTTCTATGGTAACCATTATATATAGCTGCCATTATATATGATGTCCTACCTTCTGATAAATAAATCCACATTTTGAAAAAGGCTTCTATATCATATGTGGCTTACTCAGCCTTTAGGAAATACTCCATTATTCAATTTAAATTTCAGTACATGTGTCACTCAAAGGTTGCTTTGTGGCCCTGTGTGCATGTATACATATTCATATTATAATACATACATGCTGCATGTAATATGCACAATATGTTTATCTCTTGTAATATTGTATACAATATAGTGTTAATGTGACAATATGCACATTTATAGAAAATATATATGATATATAACACAATAGGCAACATAGAACTAATGGATATCATTCATCTTGGGTGTTTAACTACATCAAAATATTAATATGCATCTCTTATAGAAAGTCTTTCAACCTAACCTTTCTACGGGGCTTTAAGGAAAACTGACAGTGGTGGAAGAGCAGAGCTGTCACAGCCGTCCTTCTGCGGGCAGCTGGAATGGCTACGTTTTCCTTTGTCTGGCAAAAAGCTTGCTTCCAGCTGCCCTATACAGCTGATCTGTATCATCGAAGAAAGCAGAAGATCCCCCCCAAAAAGCCAAGCGTTTGTTACACAGACAGCATTTGATAGATGATAAAAGGAAGTGCACTCAGGCTGGAGAACGGTGAAGCCAAAGAAGCGATCATGTGGGTAAAGTGTCTGTAGCACCAT